TCAGGTTAGGCTAGGGAAGGCCGTGGGAACAAAAAATCCTAAATCTGAGTGGCTTGAAACCAGTGAAGATTTATGTCCTGTTCACTCGACATGTCCATCAAAGGTCAGCTGAAGGCTCTGCTCCAGGCCATCCTGAACCCAGACCTCAGGCTGACGGAGCAGCCACCATCTCAAATATTGCCCGATGTCACCATGACAAAGGGAAAGAGAGATTTGCAGTAGCAATTAAAGGCTAGAGCCCAGAGGTGACATGTCACTTCCACTCAGGACTCAGGGGCTAGAACTATCGCATGCCCCTGCCTTGGGGCCAGAAGGCGAAGAGCTGGGAATACCTGCTGAATAACACTAATGATGCCCACAGCCCGCCACGTGGAGTCTGCCAGCCAGAGGCCTCCTAGGGAGGGTTAGAAGAATAGAGCACCAGAATGGAGGCCAGAAACCCACGTTTCCTTCCAGGTTGAGCCACTGGGATCTGTCCATTTCTCTAGCACCCCTAGGGGCTGGAGGAAACCCCCACTTTGGTGTGGTCACAGCAGGCAGTCCGCTCAAACTGCACGTGGCAGCAGCCAGTGTCCAGACGCAGCCCACCCACCAGTGAAGTACCGGAGGGGCCAGGAGCTGAGCACGGCCCCCTGGAGCTCAAGCCGGCGGGCAGCCTCGTCCCCACCCAGGGGCTCCTTCAGCCCTGCACTGTCTCCCTGGAAGAAAGGACACCTGTCAGCGGCCCGAGGCTCCCTCTGGAAACAATCCCTCTACTTGCACTTGGCTCTCGGGCAGCAGGAGCTGGGACGTCTGGTGCGTCCACAGGCCTCCTGGGCGCATAGTCCGTGTTCGATCCAAACCCGGCCCAGATTCTAAACTTCTCGCTCTTTCCTCTCTATTACATCAGCTTCGCTCTCTCACCGGACATCCTTTGGTGATAAGTCAAAATGGCAATGTGTTAAGAACACGGCAGCCCGAGGTGTTATCCAAGACGCACCTTTCCGGGGAGAGGCGGCGACAGTGTTGGTTGGTGCTGAGGACTCCTGCTTCTGAAAGTCCTGTTTTCTTGGTGCGCGCGTGGTCACTAGCGAGCTGGAGAGCATCAGGAAGAAGCAAAACGGGGCCGCCGAGATCACACGGTGCCGGCGCGCCCCAGGCAGCCCAGAGAGCACAGGCCAGCGGCCGCTGGGGAAGAGACGCACAGCTGGCCAGCCTGAGAACCGCCCGCGCTTTGGACGAACACGTGGAAGCAAGAAGAAAAGGGCCACGCCACGCACATGGCTAAGGGCCAACACCCCGTCTTCCCCGAGTGGCTGTGGAGTCTAAATGCAGCCCCGGGTCCGGTCTTGGGGCTCTGCCATGCTCTTGCTTAAGGATCAAGACCTTGGGTTGTAAGGTTGAGAGGTTACCAAGCAACCCACAGATTGACGTCTGATCCCCGGGCCACTCCCTGCCCCCGCCTCCCAGTCCGGTTCAGTCATATATTACGACCGCTCACTAGATTGCCCCTGACCCCTCTGGATATTGCCTCTCCTCTGACATTTGGTCGCGGGCAGTATCAAAAATTTTAAATGGCCTTATTCTATACTAAGAAGAGCAAATTTCCCATTTACTAATTTTTTTTCATCCATCTATCACATTTACCAAGAGCCTGATGTACCAAGCACTGTTCTAGCTGCTGGGAACATGACAGCGAAGGAAAACCGACAATCCCTTCCCTCGTAAATTTAGGAGTTAGTGGGGGAGACGGAGGTTAATCACATAACCTCCCAACCCAAATGTAAATTCGTGGCCCCAACATGTATTAAACATTTGCTAAGGGCCAGGAATGATCAATGGGTTGCCAAAAGGGAGCTTAATCGTCTCCAAGGTCCCGAGGAACAGGCTCAGAGAGGTGATGCCACTTCCCCAAAGTCACACTGCCCCAAAGGGACAGAGCTGGGATTCGAATCCAGCACCATCCATGCAAAATCCCACGCACTTGCTGCCGTTCCATGTCTCCCGTGGCAGCCCCCGGATGTCATTTCTTTCCAGTTCCTGCCCTTTCTCCTTCCAGATCTGAGTTTGGGCTGTGGTAGTTTATGCTATATTTGAGATAAAATATTCCAGCACCTTAATATGTGCAATTCACTGGGATCAGGCAACTTGTCACAGATTTTAAGACTGAGCTCCAACAATGATTTATTTTTTTTCCTGAAAAAACAAGACTACTCCCTGAGCAAAAGTTAAAACATTCTGCCTAGAAATTTCTAAAGGTTCTGATCGTTAATACAGCAATGGCGCTCCCTGGTGACCATTGTTGTGTATTACACAGTAACGACGAGGGAGGGGTGCATCTGGGGTGGAGTGGCAGCTTCCTATTCCACGGCTGGACGAATAGTAAGACTCCCCTAGTCTTGGTCACCTTTACATCTCCCACCCCCACCCCACTTATATCAATTCCAGTGATGAGGTCACAGGTATGGGGTACAGCATCATCTCACAGGTCACTGTTCCAGCAACCAGGACACAGGGTCCCACGATCCAAAGTGAGATTGCCAAAGGGTGCTGCCAATCTCCATGATCACCAACCCATTCGGTCACGACAGGTCAACCCATCGTCTTCTGCCATAACACTTCTTTTTCTGAAGATTGTGGCTCCACGTGACACCCCCAGCCTTCTCTCCTTCTCTCTCTCCCTCCGTCTCATCTGTTCGATGACTATAGGTAACCAACCTGGAGCTTATTCACTCACTCTGACCTAGGCATTGTGCTACAGGCTGGGGACACAGCGATGGACAAGTTGTGGTCCCGGCTCTACAGCTTACACTCTAGCAGGGGAAACAGGTGGCCAATTAGCCTATAAATGATTCACTTTCAGTTATAATCATTGCTACAAGAATGAAGCTCTGAGTGTCTATATCGGTGAGACAAGACCAGATTAGGTCTGAGGGTCAGAAAAGTTTCCCCTAAGGAAAGAGTCAGGTGAGATGTGCCCAAAAAATGGAGATGAGGCTCATCAAAGTGATCAGGGGGCTTGGAGGAATGAACATGGGCTTCTCCTGGGGCTAAAGGTGAGTGCTAGGTGTGGGGTCAAGTAGTAGGAATAGACATTAGGCAACCTCAAGGATGGAGAAGTCTAAGAGAGGACATTTGTCATTACCTTAATCACTGAGGAACACTGAGCTGATGTTGAAGGGTGAGTATAAACTAACCTGAGGATTTATTTTGAGGGTTCATTTAAACGCTCTTGAATAGGAAATGTCGGAGTAGAGAAGACCCCGGATCTCTGTCTATTCTGCCTCTTCCTAGGAGCCAAGGATATTACAGAATTTATTATTTACATGCCCTCCACTGCTCACCGAAGGTGAGGAACAACAAGAGCAGACATGATTCCCGGGGTCGTGGGCAGGAGTTGAGGTAGCAACGGGCAAAAGGCTGAAGGGAAGAGAGAACAGTGGTGGCAGCTTTGGGTTCCAATGGCGAACGGTGGCTACAAAGAAATCAGGATATAAAGCCTTAACTAGCGTATGAGGCCAGCTAGCTCTCAGGATGTAGTATAACTTCGGTCAGACATTGCAAGATTTGGAGTCGGGAAACCTGTATTCAAACCCTCCCTTTCTGCCTCCAGCTATGTGATCAGGGCCACACACTCTCTGTGCATTTGTAAAATAGCAGTGACAACAGTGTCTGCTTTTCAGATTGTTGGGAAGTATTGTGTGTAAAGTTTTTAGCAGCATGCCTGGCATAGTCCAGTTACTCATTACTAGTTTTATTATTATTATTATTATTTTATTGACAATATTTAATACCTGCAAGGAAATCCACACCTATAAGAAAGAAATAAGGGAGACAATTTGCCATTATTTTCCAATTTTCTAAAATAAGTATGCATTGCTATTAGAATGAAAAGGGGGAAAAGAACCCCACACATTTCTGAATAATAGAAATTTGACTAGTCCACTGTCTCCCGAATTTCCCACATTGTCCAAGGAGACCAAGGGGAGTGCAGGTTAAAAGCACAGATTCCTAGGCTCCTACCCAAAAAGCTGGATGAGAATCTCTAAGGGACGAGCCTGTTAATCTACGCTTTTAATCGGCCCCGCGGATGATTCTTACAATCAGGCGCTGCTGGCAGTCGCTCATTTAGAGCGAGGGTTGCAGAGAAGCATGGGAAAGCCCAGCACAGATTGCGGAAATCAGGAGGGCCTGAGCCTACAATTCCCATACTGCCCCGCACACCGGCGACGAGCGGGTGAAGCCTGCCGGGAGTTGTAGTTCCGGCCCGCCAGGAGTCTGCCCATAAGAACGCCGGAGATGACTGCCGCAAACCTCCCGCCCCACAATGCAAATGCAAGTGGTGACGTCACCCGAGGAGCGCCGCGGCCGGAGCGGGCGGTTTTTGCCGCCTCTTCCACCA